GGGGGCGGGGGGCGGGGGGGGGGGCCCCCGCGACGCGCAGGGCAGGGAGCCGGCGTTCCCCCGCCGCGCACGCGTCTCCGCGAGGCGGCTAAACTCAAGCCGCGGCCCTTTGCTGCTGCCTGGGGCCGAAGGCTCTGGTCCTGGCATCGTGCGGCTGCTTGGAAATCACAGGTTTTAACTTATTTATTCCATAGGCTTCTGCACCTGCTGCATGGAGGAAAATACTGCTCAGCTATACTTTAGCAGCCCAGACATCAGCGAGCAGCGGAAAGCACGTCACTGAATTAAAAAAAAAATTTTTCCTGAAAAACCGCTCTCACATTTTTTTTCAAATGGATGGACCCAAATTTTTGGGTTTGGCGTGCCGCTTGCCCGCTACTACTTTTAAGAGTTGCTTTGTAATCAGGCCATTTGTGGGGCTCGGGAACCCCAAGGATGTTGCTCTGTTGGGTTTATTTCACTCTTGTGGTCATACTGATGCCTTACAAACAGTGCATTTTTATTCCTTGTTTGATCCATTGAGTCCTGTTCTGTTGGTGGTACATAGGCCTTTTCCAAAGCTAAATGTGCGCAGTGCCGCCTGTCTCAAATGCCTACAGGAAAAAAGTCCTGGGAGTACTTTTAATAAAAAGCGATATTTTATGGCTACATAATCTAAAATTTGCATCCAAATTTCCGGATTGTTTTTTTCTGAGAGTTCACCAATGTGATTCTTTTAGGTTCGGTGCATCTCGGCTCTGGCCTCGGCTGCGCTCGCGGGCAGCGCGCCAGTGCTGCCCAAAACAGCTCCTGCTTAGCCTATGTCAACCTGCAAAATTAAACTTTTATTTGAAGAAAAAAGAGACCAGTTTCTTTTTATCTGGGTCAATATTAAGGTGAGCCCTTAATATACACTTGATTTATAAGTGTTTTTTTTTTTTTTTAAATGAGTTTTTTTGGCTGCTCCAGTGCAAGCGCCTGCCAAATGGGGACTTGGGCGCCTGGCCCAAGCTACCGTCCTGTTGTCACTTAAATTGATTAAATAAATAAAAAAAAAAAACTTGTTGGCATAAATAAACACACAATGGTTTTACCCGAGGTCTCAGTTCTGTAGTTATTTAAAAAAAAAAAACAACAAAAAAAACAAACCCTCTTTCTTTGCATTTTGTTTGGGCTTGAATTGAAGGTGGAGACCCGTCGCCCCTTGGCAGCCGCGTTTCGGGAAGGCGCAGCGCCGCGTGTC